GGTTTCGAGGGTTTAGGGTTTCGAGGGTTTAGGGTTTCGAGGGTTTAGGGTTTAGGGGTTTAGGGTTTCGAGGGTTTAGGGTTTAGGGGTTTAGGGTTTCGAGGGTTTAGGGTTTCGAGGGTTTGCAAGTTGCGGCCCACTCAGAACTCTTGAGGGGCTCACACTTTAGAGGGTTTAGGGTTTCGAGGGTTTGGGGCTTTTGGGGGTTTAGGGTTTCGAGGGTTTGAGGGACTTCGAGGGTTTAGGAGATTCGAGGGTTTGGGCCATTCGAGGGTTTACGGGGTTTTAAGGGTTTAGAGGGTTTGAAGGGTTTTTAGGGTTTAAGGGTTTGTAGGGTTTACGGGGGTTCAGAACTTAAGCTTTGTGGTTTAGGGTTTAGGGCGTGGCAGTTCTAGGGTTTGGCAATTAGGCCTTAGAAGGCTTCAGGGTTTAGGGTTTAGGGTTTAGGGTTTAGTAGGGTAAAGAGAGGCGAAAAAGACAACCGAAGCGCATTTATGTCGTCTCTGCTGCTGCTGCTGCTGCTGCTGCTGCTGCTGCTGCTGCTGCTGCTGCTGCTGCTGCTGCTGCAGGGGGGGCCGAAGCAGCAGAAGCAGCTGCAGCAATGTTTGGATTGGTTTGAAACGGATTTGGAAGGAAAGAGAAAAGAAGAAATCGAAAAAAGAAAACAAGAGGCTCGCCCAGGCTCCCAGGCCCTCAAGGTAAACCTAGGGTTTAGGGTTTAGGGTTTAGGGTTTAGGGTTTAGGGTTTAGAATTTGGGATTTTGGGGGCCGCTTCAGCGCTGTGCTGAGGATTTGGGGTTTGCGGTATGGGACTTGAGGTTTAGGGTTTATGGTTTAGAGTTTAGGGTTTAGGGTTTAGGGTTTAGAGTTTAGGGTTTAGGGTTTAGAGTTTAGGGTTTAGGGTTTGAAGCGCAGTGGACCATCCTACAGCTGCGCATCAACCAGAGCCTGAAGCCCCCGTTCTGTGCTGTTTCTACGCTGCTGCTGTTGCTGCTGCTGCTGTTGCTACTGCTGCTGCTGTTGCTGCTGCTGCTACTCTTGCTGCTGCTGCTGCTGCTGCTGCTGCTGCAGCGGTGTGCTGCAGTGGACTCCGCCATACCTTTTCGTTTGCTGCTGCCTGTGGGGCCGGGGGAGAATGCGGAGGAGAAGCGGCAGTTTGACGAGGAGTGTTTGTGGCAGCAGCAGCAGCAGCAGCAGCCGGAGCTGCTGCAGCAGCAGCAGCAGCAGCAGCCAGACGTTGCTGTTGCTGTTGGAGAAGCTGCGCCGCTAAACGAAGCAGCACTTTTCAACAAACGCCTCCATTCAGTGCGGCAGCTAACTGGACTGGCAGTAAGCAGCAGCAGCAGCAGCAGCAGCAGCAGCAGCAGCAGCAGCAGCAGCAGCAGCAACTGGTGCAGCAGCAGCAGCAGCAGCAGCAGCAGCAGATCGCCATTAAAGAAGCTATTAATTGTTTCTATAAATTGTTTTTTCTGATTATTTCTTTTTCTGGTTGTAATCTCTCTCTCCGCTTGACAGTTGCTGCCGCACTAGCTGCTGCTGCTGTTGCTGTTCTTTTGCTGCTGCTGCTGCAGCAGCAGCAGCAGCTGCTCTCTCAGTATCTGCTGCCGCTGCTGCTGCTGCTGCTGCTGCTGCCTTTCTATACCCACTTTCCGCTGCTGTTCCCTCCCCACTCCCCTTCCCCCCACTTCCGCCGCTGCCGCTCCTGCTGCTGCTGCTGCTGCTGCTGCTGCTGCTGCTGCTGCTGCTGCTGCTGCTGCTGCTGCTGCAGGACGAAGTGTACGTGGAAGCCTTCTTGCATGTCAACCAGCTCGATTTGCTGCTGGAGCTTTTCGTCTTCAACAGAACTAATGAAGTTCTCTACAACGTCAACATCGACCTCGCAGCTCAAGGCACGCCGCCCCCACAGCTAGCTAGCTAGCTAGCTAGCTAGCTAGCTAGCTAGCTAGCTAGCTAGCTAGCTAGCTGGCTAGCTAATTGAGTGGCTAGCTAGCCAGCTGCCTCGCTGGCTGTTTGGCTGGCTAGCTAGCTATTTGAGTAGCTGGCCGGCTAGCTAGCTAGCTAGCTAGCTGATTGAGTGGCTAGCTAATTGAGTGGCTAGCTAGCTAGCTAACTGAGCAGCTGGCTAGCCAGTTAATTTAGTGGCTAGCTGGCTAGCTGGTTGAGTGGCTGGCTAGCTGGCTAGCTGGCTAGCTAGCGAGCTAGCTAGTCAGCTAGCCTCCTAGCGGGCTAGGTAGCTCACTGGCTAGCTGACTTACCAGCCTCCTTGTTTGCTAGATAGCTAGCTAGCTAGCCAGTTAAACAGCTAGCTAGCTAGCGAGCTAGCTAGCTAGCTAGCTAGCTAGCTAGCTAGCTAGCTAGCTAGCTAGCCCTTTAAGTTGATAGGGAGCTGCTGCTGCTTCGTTCTGCTGCCAGCTATCTGTAGCCCCCACCTCTCCCCCTCGCCCCCCCTCCTCCTCCCACTGCCACTCCCGCTGCTGCTGCTGCTGCTGCTGCTGCTGCTGCTGCTGCTGCTGCTGCTGCTGCTGCTGCTG